TATTCTCTACCATCAAGAGTATGAGCATCTCTTGTATTGTAGAGAACCCAGGTGGCCAACAATTAAGGCAATAGCAGTCTGTGCTCAGTTAAAGTATATTTAACAAATTGCTACTACGCCTATTGAGCATTTTCCTGCCTTGTACTATATGGAATTGGGTGATAAGCAACTCTGGAAAGCAGCTTGTCAAGCTGATTTAGACTATTAATATTTCCCAGAACTGAGCTCTGCTTTGACCTTGAAGAAGCGTCAACCAAGGGATTGGCTCCTCCAGATAGAATCCAGAAGGGACCTGCAACTAATTAGAAACACCAAATTTTCCCCTTGGTTGGAGCAGACATGGTTAGGATTTCAACTTAAATTAATAAATGCCCAATTTCTCAAGGAATGTTGACAAATTGCCATAAAGAGGACACTTTCAGCACTGCTACTGATGTTAACAAAAGCCAGTAGTAGTTTTGGCTCATTTCTGCATAAATTCAAGACAGGCGACTGTCCAAGAGAACATACAAAGAAAATCTCATTGTCACCCTTTTCCTTATTTTGGAACGTACCTTACCAAAAACTATTTTCTAACACAAGTGTCTTTCTGTGGGCATGTGAAAAACAGAATAGATGTTGCTTCTGATTCAGGAGTCGTATGACTAGGGTCACATCTCAGGGGATGCTAAGGTCTAAGGAGGTCTTCCAGCTGTAGGTCAGAGGTGGTTGAACTACAAATTAACCCAGGCACAGAGGTGATGTCAGCAAAAGCGGGGACATTGTTCACTGAGAGTGCTTTTCTGTGCCTTGAATGTGCTAGAAAGGGAAAGGATAGTTTTCAAAAAATATATATGAAAGGAACAAAGGAGTTCTGTGGACTTGGGTATTTCAGAATGCGGAGTTAAAGCTAACCCGTCCTGAGAGCAAGGAAAGTCTTAGCATGTAGGAAGGAATATAAACACACAACAACAATTCAGCTCCCTGCTCCCTGCTCACTATTCTGAATAGCTTCCATGCCCAGCAAATAAAATAAAAACATCCTGATGAGTACAAGAAGACCCTGTGCTGGGCAGGCAGTCTGCTTATTAAGAAAGCAGGAAAAATAATCAGATCCCAATATAACATTGCCATTTTAAACAATAAAAAATATATTACTGGAAACCCCAATGAAAAGGCAGACTGCAGGGAGATGAGAGGAGAGATCCGTCTTTACTGATTTAACGCCCTTATAAGCAGAAGTGTTGGTGCCACCATGTCTGGCTCGCAGTCTCTATAGCTGGTGATTGAATGAGCTGGGCAGTGATGACTGAGGAAAGGATGGGGTTTGATATGTGTACTGCATCCCACAGTCCTGGCCCCAGGTTGTTGTTGTTGCTGCTGCTGCTGCTACAGTAAGCCCTGTGCACATTGTGAACCTGGAGGAAGATGCAGCAAAGGGCTCACAGTACACCAGGAAGTTCTCCTTGCTGAAACCGAGTAGGAATTGCAAGAGGGAAGCTCCTATTCCCTTTGCTGGGGCTTGCGCAACCAACATCTTTCAAGTAAAAATGAAAGGAATGATTCACTCCCAAGTCCTTCTCAAGCCCTCTCCAGTTTTTCACAGCTGCTTAGCATGATTAGAAGCAGAGCTGAGTTTATGTGTATATACAATGCGTACAGTCTACAGCAGGGGTAGCCAGCGCCGTGCCCTCTAGATGGTGTGGACTGTCAAAAGTGTTCTAATAGTGCTGTAAGTGTATGGTGCAGATGAGGCCTTATTGACCTCGGATCTGAAAATCAGATTTGTGTTGCCAGGCACAAACCACCCTATTCTCAGCTGTGCGGTACCCTTCTCTCATCTTCAAGCCTTCCTTATCCCTTTGCAGACAGACTGGAACATGTTTACAACTATTACAAGCCGTGTGCATTGGAGATAAATGGCTTGCAGAAGTATAGGCCTGATTAACAATGAAAACGGAGCGTTTGCTTCCCCGCCTGTCTTGCCCCCAGTAGCAGCCTCTTCCTTCATAGCGACAAGTGATCTCCCTGGCGGATTCTCAGTTTCCCGTCCCCCTTATTCGTAGCGATGGCTCAGGTACAAATCTGCTGGCCTAGCGAGAATACAGCACGCTAGTGTTTTCCCGGTTGCCAGTGTCTCCTTACAAAAGGGATTACAAAAAGTGACGGCAGTGTCTTGAATGTTTATGCCACTAATGCGCTAGTAGCAGGTAATGTTAGGTTAAAACACTGAGCCTGGTGCTAACAGGAGAGACATTGTTTGCCAGGAGCAAGCGAGAAGGAAAACGCCGCTGTTCAGTGGCCAAAATAGAAGAAGAAACCAGAGCTTGGAAATAAAATAAAAGTGCATAGTGGAAAGCTGAGAGTCCCCATGGAACTTCCCTTTCGCATCACTCTAGTAAACCTGAAATGCAATAGCCCCTGTTCCAGGAGAGATCAATCAGAATAGAGTTATCACAGCTTATGCCCTGCTCATCCTTATCTTGGAAGATAGATCCTGCTTCTGTTCCCAAGTAACCAGACGCAACGTCGGATATGTTAGCGCGTTGTGGATATAGAAATTCACACCCGTACTGGAGAAGGTTGCTTTCCCAGAATATCTTGGTGCCTTGATCCACATAAGTAGATGCTAGCAAATTTCAGAAATTGGGATGTGTGTGTCCCTGTCCATCTGTGTTTGGCATACACAATTCCACAGCAGAAGCAGCTGTGGCAGGGGAGCCATCCTCCAGACAGTGACTTTGCTACTTTTACTGGAACAGCATAGAACTTTATAGGCACACTAGCAATGCTAATCTGCTGCTCTTGCTGGTGGTGCCCCTGCATAGCCTTGACCTTGCCACTGCTCTGACATGCTGCTGTGCCATCTCACATACTGTGCTGGCCTTTCCTGGCAGTTAGCAAACTTTCAAGCCACTCCAGGCCAGGCTGGACCCTTTCTGAGTTTCTGCTGTTGGACGATGGCTGTTTATTTTCATTTATCTTTAAATATACTGTATTTTTCCATTGTAAGACTAGGTTTTTTTTATAACCTAAAAATTAGGTTTAAAATTGGGGCTTATACACAGGTAGTGCTGAGGGGTGTTTTCTTAATTTGGAGTCCCCCAAAATCAGGGGGTGTCTTATACATGGGGGCATCTTATACACAGGAAAAATATGGTATATATCCTTAGCTTTGTTTTTATCATGCTTGCAAGCCACCTCAAACACTTGGGGGGGAGAGAAAGAATGAGAGTAAGTGGCTTAAGGGAGATAAATGCAGTTATTACCTACCTGCTAAAATTCCTTTTGTTTTGTTTCAGGTTTGGAAGAGGGAAATGTCCATCACAAGGCCTTACTGATTTCAGTGACCGTCTGTAGTGTCCTCCTAGTGCTTATCATCATATTCTGTTACTTCAGGTACTGTCCAGAAAAGCTTGCCCACCCCCCGGTAGCTGTTTCTTTCTGCCATTCATATTTCGAGCTTCTGATCTATACAGATGCAGTGGTTGGTTTGGAGACTTTATTTTTAAAATCCTATGTATCCTAGTAATGTTGAGATTACAAAAATGTTACTGGGAGTACTGGTAGTGCGAATGAGCTTTGTTATTAGGCTGCATTCATATGGCAGTTTATTCATTTTTCAAGAAATTCCCCTAACGGTTGATTTCCACATTATATTTGAGCTTCCACACGACGTAAAAGCTGCTTTTGGAACTATACTGGAAGTTTAGCACTAGTTTCCGTATTACTTGCAAACTGATTTTTTCCCCTGGAAGCAAATAGCATGGACATGAGCACTAAACTTCCACTGTATTCCACTATAGCTCCAGAAGAGACTTTTATGTGTTGCTAAAGCTCAAATCGCTGTGGGTTAAACCACAGAGCCTAGGACTTGCCGATCAGAAGGTCGGCATTTCGAATCCCCGCGACGGGGTGAGGTCCTGTTGCTCGGTCCTTGTTCCTGCCAACCTAGCAGTTCGAAAGCATGTCAAAGTGCGAGTAGATAAATAGGTACCGCTCCGGCGGAAAGGTAAATGGGGTTTCCATGTGCTGCTCTGGTTCGCCAGAAGCGGCTTAGTCAGGCTGGCCACATGACCCGGAAGCTGTACACCAGCTCCCTCGGCCAATAAAGCGAGATGAGCGCCGCAACCCCTTAGCTAGTGCCAAGTTGGTTGGTTGGTTGGTTGGTTTGTGCACTGGTGTCCAAACTTTTTTCAAAGAGGGCCAGATTTGATGAAGTGAAGGACCGTGAGGGCAGACAGCTTTTTTAGGGTTGAAGTTGTTGAGGTTTTTTTTACCCCAGGAAATAAACTACCACAGGGGCCGGATTCAACTAACTGGCAGGCTGGATTAGGCCCCCAAAACAGACTTTGGACATGTCTGCTGCATTTATGTCCCCTCTTTCCTCCAGTGTGCCCACGTTGGTGTACCTTGGATGTAGGTTGATGTAGGTTAGGCTGAGAGACGGTGACAGGGGCCGACTTTGATTTTTCTAATTTTAGTGGCACCCCTGTGCGAGGCCAAAATTTGCCCGCCCCCGTTCCTCTCACCTTCTGTTCTGCTCTATTCACAACATCACCTTGCAGCACCCCCTAGGCTTGGTCTCAGTGCGGCAGAACCGGTCGCCCTGCCCTAAATCTGTCTCTGATAGTGACTGGCCCAAGGTTACCCAGTGATGGGGTGGGGATTTGAACCCTGGTCTCGCAGGTCCTAGTCCAGCACTCAACCACTACACCACATGGGCTAGAGCCAGGGGTGGACCAGACACAACCAGCTAGGCTTTCCTGTTTGGTCTGCCAGAGCATTCACAAGAAGCAGTGCCCACACACCATACACCTGATACCAGATGATGAGCAGGTAAGGGTGGGGATTCAAAGGAACATCTGGGAACCTAAACTGGACTCCTGAAGGTTCTTTTGCTGGAGCAAGGTGTGCTCCCACCAGCTGATACTGGCTTTACTGGGAAGGACTGTTGCTGCTGGTCTGTCCCATCTTACTAATTCATCCTTCTTCAACCTGGTGCCCTTGAGCTGTAGTCCACCTGGATAGCTCAGTCAGTAGAGTACGGGACTATTAAATCTTAGAGTTGTGGGTTTGAGGCCCACGTTGGGCAAAATATTCCTGCATTGCAGGGGGTTGGACTAGATGACCCTCAGGACCCCTTCCAACCCTACAATTTTATGCTTCATCACCCAAAACAACTCCCATCAGCCTCAGCCAATAAAGCCATGCTGTGGCAGCTGTAGTCCAGAACATGTGGAAGGCCCCAGTTTGAGGAAGGTTATGGTAGCTGATTTTATATATTATAAAGTGGCAGATTGTGGGGGAAAGACATGGGGTGGGGTGGGGTAGGCCACCCAGTATTTAAAGTTTCAGTGTGAATTGAGGTATTGAATAAAATTGTGTGTGTGTGTGTGTGTGTGTGTGTGTGTGTGTGTGTTTAAAAATCCCATGCTACTGTACATCTAATTGCAATGGCCTGGGCACAAATTCGCAGAGATGAAAGTATTGCTTTGTTACCGAGGTTGCTGAAAATAGACGAGAAACGTGAAAGCTTTAGAGATTTTTTTTTAATATGCAACGCTAGTGGGAAATTAAACAGACTCAAATAGCAACTTTTGCCTGATGTTGCGACCACCCAGCGGTGCAGTCAACCTGTGTTTATTTTCATACACAACTGCAGGTTTAAAAGGCAAGAAAGTAGACCTCGGTACAGCATCGGGCTTGAACAAGACGAGACTTACATTCCACCTGGAGAATCCTTGAAAGACCTCATTGAACAGTCTCAGAGCTCGGGAAGCGGTTCCGGGCTCCCTCTTCTGGTGAGAAAGGAGTACTGAGACACAGAGACATGTTAATGATAATAGCGGTATAGGAACAGAGCATCATCGCTATCTGCAGCCCTGGTTCTGCCTAAATCTTGGTGGCCCTCCAGAAGTTGCTGGACTCCCAACTCCCGCCACCTCTGACCATTGGTCATGCTGTGTGGGACTGATGGCAGTTGCAGCCCAGCAACATCTGGAGAGCCAAAAATAAACCAGCATAAATGCAAAGGTTATCTGAATGCAGAAATTATGGTAACCAAAGTTGATTCAGCCTAAGGTACAGTTAGCAAAATTGCTTTATTCCTTCAGCTTTTTTATTTGTTCCTAGGGGTTTGTTTTCATTGCTTCCACTGCAAGTAGTGGCAGCAGCAAGCAACCTGACCACCATTTTGCATCCTGCACGACAGTCATAACTCTGCCCTGCAGATGCACATTGTGGTACAAGTTTGTAATTTGTAAGTAGGCTATCTTTTTTTGGGGGGGGTACGTTTTACCTCTTTTGCCAGTCTTCTCCGTTAGGAGCCTCAATAAACATCTGATGAACCCTCAAGGAAGAGGGATTGAAAACTACTGAACTCTGATTAGGATTGTAGTGCCAATATCTGCATGGACACCTGCTCTGGTTAATGCCTAAAAGGCGCTCCATTTTTAGATCTATAGCCAACAATTCATCTTCTGCCAATGAGCTGACTTGTTAATAAACTTGCTATCTCTATAACTTAGCAGAGTGAAAAGGAAAGGCAGGTGTGCTATTCTAGAAGATAAACTTCACAATCCCAAACATCATGCAGTACTTTTATTTGAATGTTCCAAGTTACCCCAGGATAGTGAGCAAGCTTTCACATTCACCTGAATGCTTCATCAGGCTAGGTGTTAAGCAAACCAGGAGAGCCAGTGTGGTGTACTCTTTAGAGTGTTGGACTAAGACCTGGGAACCCCAGGTTAAAATCCTACTTGGCCATGAAGCTTACTGAGTGATGATGGACCAGTCATTGTCCCTCATGTTGTCAGGCTTGTGGTGATGATAAAATGGGGAAGAGGAGATCCATGAATGCTCTTTTGAACTTGCAGGAAAGGTGGACTATAAATAAATACTTTAAAAAAAAAATTACTTCCAAGATTTTCCATGCAAATTAACATATTAATTAAAAGTACGAAAACTCCCCCAAAACATTAGTATGGTTTTGCTTTTGAAAAAAGAGGTGAAAAACTTGGGGTGATAGAAATAAAATTTATTCCAGGCACAACATGTTCTGGAAGAAAATTCTTCCTTGGGAACACGTTTCTGGCATACATTTCTTGCATTTGAGAATTACTGCTACAAATGTTTTCCAAAGGGAGGATATTTCCCCCCTGAAACACATCAGATCTGGAATCCTAATTTCTTGCACCTGGAGCTTTTTCTTTCTTTCTTTCTGGTGGTGAAGATCCCCATTTTTGTGGTCGGTTTCCCACAACCTCCATTGCCTCATTCAGTGGTTGCCCAAGCAGAAGTGGCACTGTATGAGTATGGCTTATGTCTGCTTATTTATTGAGCAAGATGCATGTATTGCCTAAACCAACAAACCTCTGAGAGCTTTACATACAACAATATAAATATTAATTCATAAGAAAATTCCAGTGAAGTCAAACGTTAGAAACAAGTCGATATGGAATTTGTCAAGAAATAAATAAAGCCAGCAGTTTTGCATAAATCTGCATAATAAAATAAAATGTTAAAATTACATTTCCGGTTAGTCTTGTTTAAGTAAAAACACTTTTAGCAGGCACTGAAAACAATACAGCAGAGGACCTGCCTAGTGCTCAGAGGGTGGATGTGACCATAGACTGCTTATCCCGACTTTTCAACTGCAGTGTTATGTTTATCAAACACTGAGCTCCCTCTGCTGGCGTTTTCTAGTCCTTGAGGGTGCTGTCTATCTGCGAGCAGCTTGTCTCAGCATTAGTCACTATAGCACCATTGCCTTTTCTCTTGACAGGTGCAAAGGACTATAGCAAAGCAGATTCAGATGGTGAAGCAGATTGGTAAAGGTCGCTATGGAGAGGTCTGGATGGGGAAGTGGAGAGGAGAAAAAGTGGCCGTCAAAGTTTTCTTCACGACGGAGGAAGCCAGTTGGTTTCGAGAGACGGAGATCTATCAGACTGTTCTGATGAGGCATGAAAACATTTTGGGTGAGTGGCACAAACTAAAAGTAAGGCTCCTGGTTATTTAAGGCGCCCCAATTTTTAATTCTGTATTTTGCAGCTGCATACGTACATAATTTTATTTGTATGCCGCCTTTCCTCAGGCACTCAAGGCGGCTTACAACACGAAAGGAAGGCATAACTACCACATAACAAAGGTAGTCGTAAAAAATAAATGAAACATTAAAAAGTACACAGCCAAACTGAACAATTTCCACGTACGTCACAAGATCCAAAATAAAGATAACAAAACAAAACGGCAAAAACCCAACAACACCACCCCTGTGCTCAAACAACACTCTAGCCCAGGCTTCCACAAACTCGGCCCTCCAGAAGTTTTTGGCCTACAACTCCCATGATCCCTAGCTAGCAGGACCAGTGGTCAGGGATGATGGGAATTGTAGTCTCAAAACATCTGGAGGGCTGAGTTTGAGGAAGCTTGCTCTAGCCCATGAGTCTGTTCAACAGCCTTAGCTTTTGTAGCTGGAGGGAGTCAGTCAGTCAGGGCTCCGTCCTCCCAGGCCAGGTGGGAAAAGGCCTGAAAGGTCTGCCAAGACGTGTATTCTGGAGTATTAAAAAGATGTATCAGAAGCCAAAGTTAGCAGTGGTTTCATTTTGACAACTTGGTTTCTTCTTAGCCCTGCTTGCTGCTTAACCTTTCATAAACAAGGTGAGAAAACACCTGTATAGCAGCTCACCTCCAAATTCCGGCTTAGACCTGACACTGTGAGATCACTTCCCTTAAGAAGAGCTGTGATTCTGAGGACTTGCAAGTTCAGGGATTCCTCATATTTGCCCAGAGAAGGAAAAAGAAACCCATGCCTTCACAGTTTTCAGGGTCATAGATATGGTCTTCAACAATTGCTAATTTCAGTTGCTGTGCATTTGTTTTGTCCCAGTGCTCAAATTCATTTGAATTTTAAAAACAGAACTTGGAACAAATTTCAAAATACTTGAGTTTTAAGCCCTTGCACACAAATTTCATTCTGCACTTTAATTTCCATGATTCTGATTCCAGCGAATGAATGAGGGAATCATAAATATAGCAGCGAACTTCGAATTGCTGTTCATACTCCTAAAATTGAATTTAGATTTTCAACTCCTTGTCTTTCAGCCTGAGTTTGTGTGTTTTGAGTTCAGGAATGTGGACAAGGGTTTCAAATTTGGCTAACGTAGGTAGGGCTATCCTTTGAAGTGTAACTTATGCCCCTGCTGCACTGATGGCCAAACTTGGCCCTCCAGCTGTTTTGGGACTACAGTCAATCATCCCGGACCACTGGTCCTGTTAACTAGGGATGATGGGAGTTGTAGTCCCAAAACAGCTGGAGGGCCAAGTTTGGCCATGCCTGCCCTAGTGCAAAGACTTGCTTGGTGGTATTCTAGGTCAACATAGTCTTGACTGTTCCCTGCAGTATCAGTTCCACATGTGTCATGGAATGTGGAGCTATAGTAACTCTGCTGACTTCTCAGATTTCCAGTTAGTGCAAGCAGCATTGGATACGGCGTCTTCACCTTGGAATTCAAAAGAAATTGACTCTGTACCTTCTTTCAAAACATGCACAATGTTTGAACAGCCCTGTCTCCATTCCTCCTTGTAGGCTTCATTGCTGCGGACATTAAAGGCACAGGGTCTTGGACTCAGCTGTATCTTATCACGGACTACCATGAGAATGGATCCCTGTACGACTACCTGAAATCCACTACCTTGGATACAAAAGCCATGCTGAAGCTGGCATATTCCTCAGTCAGCGGACTGTGCCATTTGCACACTGAAATCTTCAGCACTCAAGGCAAGCCAGCTATTGCCCACCGGGACCTCAAAAGCAAAAACATCCTGGTGAAAAAGAACGGAACTTGCTGTATAGCAGACCTGGGTTTGGCAGTTAAGTTCATTAGGTGAGCAAAATACTGGGTTTTCTTGCTGAAACTTGGTTTGTGAACATGCAAAGGGAGTAGGTTTCAAAGGGGGCCTGGAGTTGGGATCTTGTGACAAGGAAGGAAACAGTGGGTTGTTGCATGAGCTGTTTGTGAAGGTTAAGATTAAGACTGACTGTTTGAGATCATGGTGACCATCCCAACGCAGAGTGAAACTCACACTCTGTAG